TCATAAGTATTTGTGACAAGAGTGGACCTTGGATAGGCCCAATGCCTGGGCCTATCGAGGGATGCTCCTAGGGAGTTGGTCTTCTGTCACCCAGCCTGGCAGGAAGCACTTGGGAACCGGCTGCGGTGGTTACACCAGCTGCTTGCACCTGGTGAGCAAAGCACACAGTCACAGCCTCCTCAACTAGCAGATCTGGGGCAGGAAGCCAGAGGGGCATTAACCCAGCGTGAGAAAGGCACAGGAAGCCCCCAGCCCAGCAGACTTCTCCATCCATTAGGTGGCATTATCCCAGCTTTACATCCCTGCAGTGGCCTGGGGGACCCTGAAACCACACCCCTGCCCGCCCCTGGGCTTGCTGATCACCTCCTGCTTTGCATGTGTATTCTCTGCCATTAAGGAAAACTCCAAGTCCTCTGATGTTCTTGCTGCACCTTCAGTCCCTATCTTGTCACCACAACTTTGCATTTGCCTTATTCATCACAGTGTTTCCTCGAATCCTTTTGTAGGCAGCCAGGATTGAAATAATGGGTACATAAATGTTCACTGCAGCCTCTACTGCCGCTTAAAGGATGCCGCACTTGTGGGCATTCCTTAAAAAAAATTTCTTTTTGAAGGCAGGAAGAGAGAGATGTATTTCACCAGTAACTGCATCATCAGGAAATATGTGCCAAGACCTACCCTGAGCTGGGTACTGCGCATGAGACAAAGATAAAGGGAAGACAAGTCACTGCTCTCAAGGGCCCTGCAGTCTGGCTGGGGTGAGTGGCAGAGACCTTTCCTGCTCCTGGGATGGTCATGTGTTTCCACACACTTTCCAACCTCTTCACGATCAGGACGGGTCTGGCCCGTGAGTCATGGGCAGAGGGATAGATGACACTTCCAGACAGATGCCTTTAATAGCCTCTGTTGGCCCTCCGTCTCTTTCCCTGACATGGTGTCCATGGCAGCCTCCATCAGTCTGGGTCCTGGAGTAGCTGAGTGCAGCAGAGAACCCCCCCGGTCACGCCAGACATGTCATGCGAGCAAGAACACAGAAACGACTCCATGCTACGAGACCGAGATTGCAGGATGAATTCATTACCCTAGCATAGCCTAGTCTGTCCTAACCCTGGGAGCACACCTGCAAATACAAGCAATTAGATAAGACACACGATAGACAACCTAGGAGGGCTGCAGATGACTCACTCCAAGCCCATTCCCACCTGCGGCCTTTGCCTCTGCTGTCCCATCTTCCTAGAGCTCTGCCTGCAGACGTCTGGGTGGTTGGCTCCCTCCTGCCCTTCAGGCCTCGGTGTAATGTCACCACCTCCTTAGGCCTTTGCTGACCACCCGACCAGCACGCACAGCCCACGAGCACTCTCCGCCACACGGCCCCCCACGTAGACTTCAGGAAATGCTCTGATTTGCTGTCTGTCTTGCCCTAGCTGCGACGTGAGCAGCGTGAGCGTGGGACCTTTACGTCTTGCTTATTGCTGTGTTCCCAGAATTGTGACCGGCACAAAGTAGGAACTCCAACATCAGCTCCTGACGTGCAGATGAGTGGAGGGCCTGTGCCGGGCAGTTCAAGTGGAGGAACGTCCGGAGGGCAGAGTAGCCAGGAAGGATTCACAGAGGAGGTGGCCTAGAGAGGCCCTTCAAGGGGCAGTCAGCAGGGGTGGTCACCTGGGGTGGAGGAGCACAGTGAGGAGAAGGCGGTCCAGAGCCTCAAGTTCAGATCTGACCTAGGACGAAGGGCAGCTCTCAGAGGGGGCTGGCTGGAAGTGGTGCCCCAAACCTGCTGTTCGAGGAAGGGTGTCTGGGTGGGGACTTCTAAGACAGGAGCCCATAGCAAGAGGCTGAAGGCAACAGCACAACCGTTAGGCTGAGAAAACATCCAGACAAGGGTGGCCGTCAGCAGATGGGAGGAAGAGAATAAAGAAAGGGTCGATAAAACTCGGTCCAGGAAAGTCCCCTGCTGCCCGATGCCACGACGCAGTCAGGTGGTGCGGGGGAGAAGGAGCCAGCTCTACAACTGGAAGTTTCTTTCCACGAGATTCTGAAATTCAGTGGTCCTTCTGCTACCCAACAGCACCTCTCTGAGCCCTCCGGGGACATCTGTCTAACACAGACTGGAACAGCCACCCAGGACTGCGCCCTCGGGGCTTCCTGGGTGAAGACCCAACACACCACTTCAACACGGAGCTAGACACATCCAAATAGCACGGCAGACATTCGCGTCTTAGACGCAGAATCTGAGTCCGAGCCTTAGTAAAATGAAGATCTGATACTTCCCTTGCCGGCCACGCATGGTTTTCATGAAGATGAAGTGGGTCACAGGAATTTTTTTTAAGTTTAGAAACACTTTACAAGCATCGCAGTCACTAAGAACAAAGTGTGCTTGCTAGAATTTCATCTCTTTCCTTTGCAGCGCACAGACTCCGAGCAGTGCTGGACGTGGCTCTGCCAGCCCTGAGTAGCCGGAGCCGCTGGGATGCGGGGACTGTGAGCGGAGGCAGCGTCATGATGCAGAAACTGCTTTATGGCCCATTGTGCTTATGGCCTTAAACAAAAGAGTTTAAGGCCCAGCCTTGCACATGGGAAGTGCCCACTAAATACTTGTTAATCAGGGTTTGACTGTTACCTCTGTAGTCATCTCCCGCCGTCACCACTCTCTGGATCTGTGTGGAAAAGCGCAACAGAGACAGCGGGCGGGACGGAGCGTCTGCACCCCGCAGGCCCCCTGCTGCCTCCTGCCTGCCCTCCACAGGTGCGCTCACCAGCTCTTTTACACGAGGCCGCCACCTCTCCCCACCGCTCCGTTGCATCCTATACCCCCGCCTGAGTAACTCTGCAAGCCTACAGCTCCCATGGCACACTCTTCAAAAGTTCCCCGTGGTGTTGGGACCAAGCTGGGGGACGGGGGACATTTCTCCCCACTCCCAATGTTCTCTCCACATGGGGGATGTATTGGTCACGATGCCCTGGCTTGCCCGCGCCCACCTCACTCACTTCTCCTGGGTGAGGAGAGCTCACCTTACTGGTCAGTCTGGAAGGTGGCACTGGCATTCCTCGCTGACCCTCCTCCCCTGCCCTTCCTTTGGAGGTGGGCAAGGGCCCGAGAAAGCAGGCGTTCTTCTGCACCCCTCCACATCCTAAGTCTTGCAGGGCTGCCCTGCCCACTGGCGCCTGCCGTTGAGAGGGTAAAGCAGTCAGGAACTTGGTATTGGAGAGCCTATGTGACTCTCCTACTAAGCTGCTTCCTCCCATGCAGCCTTTTTCAGTTTTAAAGCGGATATCTTGGCTTTCGTCTATTTCCACCTCTGTCTTATTCCCTAGCTGGTCGGTAATTGGGCCGGGAAGACGGCACTGTTGACTGGAAGCCCCTGTAAGCTCCAGTCAACACTTCCATCGTCTGTGAAAATAAGCACCAGGTCCTCAGCCAGGCATGTTAGATCTTCCAGCAAAAGACAACAAACAACAACAGCAAAACCAGGTATCTGCTAACTCCCCGGGCCCAGTTTCCTACTGCACCGTCCCTGGAGGACATGCCACGGACCCTTGAGCAGCCACCACACTGGGCTCCTCCAGCAGTGGGACACGCTGCACGTTTTCTCTCTCCCGTGTGCTGAGCTCGGCTCCTCTGCCCCGCTGGCGTTTAGACCTACCAAAGCTCCACCCCTCGACCCGAGTGGCTCGGGGGCCACTTCTCTACATGTGCCTTTGCTGACCCCTATCCCTTCACTGCCATATTTCTCATTCTGTGTTCCCTGCCAGGACCCTTCTCCTCCTCCTGCCCACTTCCTCCTCCCTGTCACATGCCTGAGTGACTGCCACTTGTCTTTGAGGTCTCCAGTGAGATGCCTCTGCTTCCAAACCCTCCTCCGAGTCCTAGGAGTGTTGGATGCCCCTCCTAAGAGCTGCCGGAGAATTCCACGTATCACTAAACACACTGACTTGAAATTCTCTCTTACTTTTCTCAAAAAGCATGTGAAGGAACACGGATAACGTTTACAGACACGTACTCGCAGAACTGCCACTCTAGGTGGTAAACTGCCTATACCAACACAGACGTCAGCGCCAGGTGCCCATTAAGCAGAGTGTAAGCGTAGAGGCCACGCTGCAGAAAGGCATGACAGAGGAACTTTCTGGAATTCCCTAGTCCTCATGGGAAGCCTGGCTTGAGGAGGTGGTTATCCTATCAAGTTGGCTTCTAGCTGGCCAGTGAGTTAAAGACATCACACCATTAATTCCATTTCCCTGTGCAGTTAGCGAGAGGCTGGGACTCCTAGTTCCTAGAGTCGTAGAGGAAAAACCCTAAATTCAAAGAGGGAACGGGTGCACCCAGGCCACCCAGAATAAATGTGGTGAGGAGAGGGTCTCAACTCCCAGCCTTCCCCCACGACGTGCTGCTCAGGCAACAGCAGGCTGAGGCTCACATGACACATGTGAATACTGAGGTCACCGCATTTTTTTCTCACTGGCCTGAAGCCTGGGAAGTCTGATCTGCCTCTTTGAAGTCTGCTCAGTGCGTGGGGAATGTGCAGATTTTCTGGGGCCTCTGATGATGCGGGGATAGATAAGACCCTGTTGGGCTCAAGTGTCAAGAGGCTTTCCTCAAGTGTGTAAATGCTGCTGGGAAAATGAGGCCAGCCAAAACTCTAATTTTTAACAGGAAGTGTTGAATCTGCCTTGCTTCTAGGTCAGGCTGAAAAGAATAGACCCCGTGGACTATCTTTAGGGGACAGTGAGTTCCTTGTCACATGAGGCAATCAACACAGGCCAGAGGACTGTTGATCAAGAATGTTACAGGAAGGATTCCTGCCTTTAGGGGAAGCCATTTGTCAGGCCCCACAAGTACACAAACACTGTACTTCCTCATCCCTCCAATTAAATGGCGCTGTATAAAGCAACCTGTTCCTGGCCCTGTTTTTGCATATTCATGACCACCAAAAACATTGCACACATTGAATTGACCATGTTCGGGGGCCCTAGGACCAACACAGGATTCGGTGACACAGTACCAATTTTGGTGAGCCACTGGGCCACGGCACCGTAGATCTCGTCCAGGATGAGGATGACCACGAGGTTGATGATGACCGCCGTTGCCGTCACTGTCACCCGGACATTGGAGCGTGTGGCCTTGTTGAGAGACAGAGCAGCTGCAGTTGTGATCCGATACACAATCACCCCAAAGACAATCGAGAACGTCAGGGCAATCTGCTCAGGGAAAACAGGGAGAGGCACACGTCAGTGGGCAATCATTGAGCACCTACTGTTTGCTCAGCCAACAATACTATTTGCTACATCAGGTGTTATTAATCTAGTATTCCTTGGTGGGCAGAAAGGGAACTGCAAACCCTCTGAAATCTTATTCAGAATTCTAAGTGTAGGTGCATTTTCCAGGGGAGAGTGTCATTAGTTTTTATCAGATTTGAAATGGTCTGTAACACAAAAAAATATATAAGGATGAAAACGGTGGACACTGTGGCATGTACAACATGCATGTTGTGATTTCTTTATCAGGGAGCTTTCAATCTACTATGGAGATAAGATGAACTCCCCTAACACCATAGTATATAATACTGGATAGTATATTAAGGGCTAAATGAAGAGTATAGTTGCTGAAGAAACTCATAGTAAAGGGGAGCACACAGATCTGGGTGGTCAGGGATTATTTGAGGAGGAAGTAGAATTTGAACTGGACTTTCCATAAGAGGAAATAGGGAGCCATTGAAGGTGTTGGAGTTGAGGAGGAGTGAGTTACAGTTCAATGGGTGGGGACAGGAAGGTTGCCCAAAAGGGAAAACGGGAAGATAAATCAGAAGTGAGATTCTCGGACTTTCAGTCCTCAGGATGAACAAAAAATTATTGTAAGATTTCTCTACCAAGCAACCTGAAAAGAAGAACTGAGAGTTCTCACTTAGTGCAAAAGTCTCTTGCTGCTGTGTTCCCAAAGGAGGTTTACTGGCCACTTGACCTCTAAGGGTCCCCCATTTCCTCTTTCTATAACCTAAAAATGACAAGGGGCTCTCCTAGACCTAGACCTGCCCAATAGCCCCACTCCTTTCCTATGACCCCACTCTCCATTGCAACCGAGGAAGGATCATGTTCAAGAAGGACAAGGCTGTTTTGAAAAGAAAGTGCCCCAATTAAGCCACTTAGAGGGGGCAGAGGGGGGAGAGGCCACTGCTAAGTGCATGCCCTGCTCAGAGCAAATTCTAATTTCCTTCAGTCAAGTGAAGTCTTCTTTCTTAGGACACTTTCTGCGAAGGAGGCTTTTCAGGTCATATTTCCTCTGGGGGTCAGGGGAAGGACACAGGGGCACTGGCTATGGAGGGCTAAATAGAAAAAGTGGAGAGAGAAAAGGGCAGGTGGAAGGTTCCCCTGAAAATATAAACTGTGCTGGACTATACATTCTGGAGGGGAGGGGCAGAGGGGAGCGGAGGGGCAGGGGGGCACTGGCATGGGCAAGGCTTTGCAAGCACTGTGAATGACACTCTGGTGTATTAACAGTGGGTTGCAGATGTGTCAAGGTATGGGCGTCCTCAGACCTCAGGCAGATGCCCAGGGGTGCTGAAGCCTGGGATGAGCCCACAGTGCTTTGTAAACATTAGTAATTGGTGTGAAAAAGAAGCTCTTGGTAAGAAAGGCAGGAAGGTGGTATTCTCTGCGTGGAGGGAGGGTGTGCATGTGTGTGTGTGCATGCGTGAGGCTGGAGGAGAGTTAGACGGGAAAACACCCCGTGGGAGGCCCCTATTCAGCTATTCAGATGCAGGCTGGGGGTGGGTGCAGCAGATGCACCAGCCTCCAGCACCGAGGTGGCTGACTATCACGTCAGTGGGAAACTGGACGTGACGTCACCCTCTCCAATAACATACACGTTTTCACTTCCTGCTCCTCTGGGATCGTCACCGCCAGACAGTAAGGGCCTGGAAAATGCCGTGTGAGAGTCTTTTCCCCAAAAATCACTTTTGCAGTCAAGACCAGTGATGGAAGTATCGATGAGGTGGGGGAGGCCAGGGCATTGAGGAGTGTGTGTGTGTGTGTGTGTGTGTGTGTGCGCGCGCACGCGCGCTTGGGGTTGAGGTTGGGGGAAGGACCCGGGGAGAAGAAACAATGGCAAAAATATCCTCAGCTTTAGGGTCTTGGTGGAGGGGCGTGGAGGAAATTGTGGGGAGGAGATCAGCTAGTGTCCCTCTCTAAGAGGCCCCGCTGCTAAACTGGGGCAGGAAGAACACTTGGTACTCAAAGAGTGGTCCATGGGCTCGCTGCACCAGCTGGGAGCTTGACTTAACTCAGAATCTCAAGCACGACTCCAGACCTGCTGCCGTGGGGTCTGCATTTTAACAAGATTCCTGTTCAAGGTGGAGAAGCCCTGCTCCACTCACTCAGGAAAGCCCTCCTTCCTACCCACCTCCCTCCCTGGACCCGCCTCTCACATGCCCCTCCCCAGCCCTCTGATTCTGTTCTTTGCAGTCAGTCTTACCCTCTCTGGTCTTGATTTTCTATCCCCCTATAGAAATCAGCCTCTGAACCTCTCCTCTCATGCTTCCCACACTATGTCAAGAGTCACAGCGTTTTCAAGCTACAGAAGCTCGAAAAGCACCAACCCAGCCCCATGCCCACTTTTCAGACGAGGAAACAGACGTGGAAAAGTGAAGTGATTTGCTCAGGGCCACAAGGCATGGACTACAACCCTAGTCTCCTAGATCACAGTAGGAATTAAAGAATTTTAGCATTGAGGGGCCATCCACATGCAGCGTTTGGTCAGGAAACGGAGGCCCGAGAGGCAACAGCATGATTAGTCCAAGGTCTATCTGTGCCTTCTCAGTGTCGTTGTTCAGTGCATCTTCACTAGCACTAATCCTTATAACAACCCAGCAAGATACGCCTTATGTCAATGAGATTTAATGACCATCCAAGATTTGAACACTGCTCTATGATTCCAAAGTCTACAATCCCATTCTGACATTAGAACCCAAGCCCTGTGGCATTAAAGCTACCACCATTTCCACCACTCATGGCTGCATTATTGATTTTGTTTATGAAGTTCAACAAAGATTTTCTGACCACTTATTGTGCAAACCACTGCACTGGAGAGATTCCATGTGTGGTCTACCCCAACTAGGCCAAAAGGGGATGAGTCTTGTGCCACGTCCTGTGCCTCGTGCCATGTCACAGTCGTGCCTCATGTGTGGAGCTGGTTGGGTAAAGATTTGCTGATCCTCAGCTCTAGGTGATCTAGCTGCCCTCTACATGGTCACCTCATTATGGTCCCTGTTGTTTTACTTCCAGGGCACACATAACTAATTTGCGATGTAAGCCAATCTACAGAGTCCAGAGTCCTCAACATTGTGAAAGAGACAGGAAAGCGAGACAGGCTGGTCCCCACCCTCCAGGACTTGCATTCTGAAATGACACTGACAAAACCACTGCAGGTGCACAACGAAGACAAGCCTGGCAGCAGCTGGACAGTCACAGGCCTCTGCTCAGGAGCTTCTGATGGCTTTGAGCAGCAAGCAAGGAATCATCAGAGAAAACTCAACGGGAAAAGTTTGGGACAGTTCCCCATGGGAAAAACTTGGAGGAAAGGATAAGGAGGAGAAAGAACTTTCCAGAAAAGGGAGGAGGAATAAGCAGAAATGCACAAAGGAGACGCAGGCTCTGCTGCCTCAGTGGGCAGGGCCGAGCCTAGGACGTGCGTGGCACACAGCTGTAGCTTGAGTAAAACAACACACACACACACTGACACCTTTGTCGCTGACACAGCAAGCTGTCCAGGCATCCGCCTCGTCTGTTTACCCATTCAGTCGTTCATAGCACGTGTTCAAGCAACTCCTAGGTGCCACGCATAGGACACAGCAGGTGAAGAACACGTGGCAGGGATATACGGGCAGCACTGAACAACTGACAGAAATTACTGCCCTTGGGGAGCTGCCCTCATGGAGCTGATCTTCTAGTGGAGAAAGATAACAATAAGCTAAAAAATATACAGAATATGTAGTATCTCTGGTGGGATAAACACTGTGAAGACAAATAAAGCAAAACAAGGCACGGGGAAAGGCTGCAATTTAATATAGGGTGGTCAGGAAAGGCAGAGGTGAGAAGGTGGCCTCTCAGCAAGGACCAAGAGGAGAGGATCTGGATGGTCAGGCACAGGGTGGTGGCAGAGTGAACAGGGGAGAGTCAGGCGGGAGATGCGTGGGTGGCACAGCCACTTTTCACTGTCACCCTGGCCCAGGCTGCCACATTTCTTATATGACCACAATAGTTTCCTCCTTGCACTCCCGCTTCCCACCCTGGCTTCCAACCAGCACTTTCTCCCCACAGCAGCCAGAACGACCCTTTTGAGAAGTATGTCAGATGACGTTGCTCCTCTGCAAAGCCTCCTGCTGGGGTTCTCACTGCACACACAGTAAACCCATGCCGTTCCTGTGGTCCAAAGGGCCCTACTTGTAGGGCTCCCCGCTGCCTCTCTGATTGCATCCCCTCCTGCCTGCCCTCCCTGCCACCAGGGTGCTCAGGTCCAGCCACACTGTAGCTGCTGCTTGCTTCCCTCTATATACCAGGAACCACCCACCTCAGGGTCTTTCCCTCTGCCCACAGTGCTCCCCCAGAATACCCATGTGGCTGGCTCCATCACCTCCTCCAGATTCTTGCTAAAATGCCATCTTCTTAATGAGGACTCCCCTGACTAACCTATTTAATATATGCATTTTGTGGATTTTTTTAATTTTATTGTGAACATACAGAAAAAATTCATCTTACACGCATGCACACACACACACACACACACACACACAGTTTAACAAATAAGGCAAACACCAGTAGCACCCAGGTCAGCAGTGCCAGCACCCCCAAGTGACCTTCTCCATGTACACACCCATCTCCCACCCCTGCTCCTCCTTCAGCTGGAACCACTGTGCTGATTTCAACAAGAAATCAACCACTGTGCTGATTTCCTTGCTTATTTCCATAGTTTTCTCACTTGGGCATGACTTCTTAAAAAATATACCTTAGTGTTGCCTCTTTCAGAACTTTATATGAGTAGATCAAACTGAATATATTCCATTGTCTTAGTTTTTTTCCAGCCACGTTGCTGTGTATAGCTAGTAATTTGCTCATTTCCATGACTATGTAGTATTTAATTATATAAATATGCCTCAAGTTATTCATTCTAGTGGTGATAGGCATTTGGATTGCTTCCAGTTTGGGACTGTTATTAGCAGTGTTTCCACAAGACATTCTTGTGCATGTATTTTGTTGTGCAGGCACATCAGTTTCTCTAGGGCATATAAATAAATAGGGTAGACATATTTTCAGTTTTACTAGATAATGCCAAACTGTTTCCAAGGTAGGTTTTTTTTTTTTTGTTTGTTTTTTACAATTTACACTCCCTCCAGCAAAGTATAAGAGCTTCTTTTGATCCATATCTTTTCCAACACTTGTTATTGACAGACTGTTTAGTTACAGCCTATCTGTTGGGTATATATGGTATTGCATTGTGGTTTAGATTAGAATTTCCATGATTACTGATGAGATTGGGTACTCTTTCACAGGTTTATTGGCCATTTGAATTTCTTCTTTTGTGAAGCATCTGTTCAAGTCTTTGTCCCATTTTTTAATGGAGGGTCTATCTTATTCTACTGGTTTGTAATTCTTTGCATATTTTGAGATTCATTCTTTGTGAGTTACAGTTGTTGCAAATATATTCTCCAATTTTGATGACTTGCTTCTCATGTCTTTATCGATCTTTTTATGAACTTAAATCCTTAATGTTAATATAAAATTACCAACATTTTATTATGGTTGTGCTTCTTGTACCTTGTTTAAGAAATTCTTGCCTACCCCAAAGCCATGAAAATATTTTTCCCTATGTCTTTAAAAACTTTATTATTTTTACCTTTCATATCTGATCTTTAAAACACACCTAGTGTTGATGTTTTTGAAAGGTGTGAAGTTCCACTTTTATTTTCTTCTGTATTGATACCCAACTGCCCCAGAAGCACTTACTGAGAAGTTCATCTTTTTCCCAATTATATGCCACTTACATGGATCTGATTCTTGGTTTTCTATTTTGTTCCATCGGTCTAGTTAATCTCTTTCCTCAACAATATTACACTAGCTTACTTATTATAGCTTTAAAATAAGTTTATATTTGATAGAGCAACATATCCCTTCTGCAAGAGTGTTTTGACTATTCTTGGCTTTGGGGCTTCCACATAAATTGTACAATCAGCTTATCAAGGGGACAATATAAAGACCTAAGAACATTATTGTTCCCCTTTTTTATATTTTAATTCTACCTTTTTTTAAACCCCATGAGACACTAGCATGATTATTTTCTCAGTCAAGGTTCATATAGGTTTTCCCATAAATTTACCACTTAAATAGCTCTTCATTCCTTCCTAAAACTATGATCTTCCATATGGGATCATGTCTGAGGTACATTCTTAGAATTTCCTTTAGTGGGAGATTCAGTTGCTAGCAAGCTCTCAGTTTTTGTTTGTCTATAAATATCTTTATTTTATCCTCATTTCTACAGATTTTTCTTGGGTATAGAATTCTAGGTTAGAAATTGTTTTCTTTTCAGCACATGGAGATAGGATTTCACTTTATTCTGACTTCCAATGTGCTCTGAGAAATCAACAGTCAAGCTACGTGTCTCCCCACTGAAAGTAATTTGTCTCTTGATTTCTGGCTACTTTTGAGATTCTTCTTATGTTTTATATATTCTATAATTTCTCTGTGATGAATCTAGATGTAGATTTTTTTAAATTATTTTTTCTGCTTGGGATTCATGGGGATTTTTCAATCTGTGGATTAGTGTTCTGCAGCAGGCTAGGAAACCACCAGTCATTATTTCTCGCTTATTAACTATTCTCTTTTCTGTTCTTCCAGTTGTGCAATTAAATAAATGTTAATTCTTCTCACTCTACTTCCATCTCTCTTCATCTGTCTTCCATCTTTCTCATCTTTTGTCTTCCTATGCTACATTATTGATAATTTCTTCTAGCCTATATAACAGTTCACATATTCTCTCTTCAGCTGTGTCTAATTTGTTGTTAAATTTATCCATTGTTATACATATATCTTCATTTCTAGAGGACTTATTGGTTAGTTTTCAGATCTGCTAGGTTATTTTTTAAATAGTTTCCTATCCCTACAGATATTTTTAAGATTAGTATTTTAATCTGTGACTGATATTTTTAATACTTTAATTCTTTGCTGTCTATTCCCACTGGTTCTTTCTCATGGTGCTCTAACTACTTGTGTAATTGGTCATTTTTTACTGTGTTCTCTTCACTGCCTTTGAAAAATTCTTTTGGGGGATTCTCTGAGACCTAGCATAAATATGCTTTCCTATGGAGAGAGCTTGTGTTTGCTTCTGCCAGACACCTGGGAGCAGTCCTAGGCTTGGACCACGTTCACATAGGCGCCAGGCTCCCTGGTCCTCTCAGGTGATGATCCAGGCTATAAATCCACAATGTGGATTGCCAATGGCCACTTTTCAGACACAGGGTTTTGTTTCTCTCTGTTCTACTTAGAGCCATAACAATTTTCTCTGTAGTCCTGTGAGTGGGGAGGGGATGGGTTTACTTCTCTTGTGTCTTTATTCTGAGAGTATAGCCCTTTAGAGTTCCAATTTAATTTGGTGAAGACTTCCTGTTAAACTCCTCACTTTGAGCCAGACATAGTCCCTGATTTCTACCCTCCTTGCTCCCATAAAACCACCAAAATCAAAGACTAACTTTGCCTAGATGGAGAAATGTTCTCAAGGTAAAAGCAGTTTTAGTGTCCAGGTGTTCGTTTCCTTGGTTCCGATTTTCCTTTAGATTTTAACCTAATATTACTTATTATGCTGTCAGTCCTCAGGCCTTAAGAAGATTGAAAAATATATTTTTCCAATTTTTTTGTAAATTTCAGCAAAATAGGATGCTACAAACATCCTAACCCACCAATACTGGAGATGGAAGTCTATTTTACTTATTTCCTCATTTATTGTCTGTAAACTCTTTGAGAGAGGGATTAATTTGTTTTGTTTTCTGTTGTATCCCCAGTGCCCAAGAATAGTCAATCACATAATTGCACTCATTAAATATTCCTTGAATGAATGAATAAACTCTTCAACAACAATATGCATATTGTGAGAGACTTTGAAGTGCTAAATTAAACTTTATATCATTTCAGCTTAACACACTGCAACTTACCACATATTCTTGAATAAACTCTACATGCCTTGCACTTGTTAAGCAATGAGAAGAAAACAAATTTAGACTTGTAAGCTTTGGCAAAACACCCATCAACTCTACTTCATCTGCAAAACGAGAAGTTAAATTAGATGTTGTCTAAGCTTCCTTCACTTTTTAAATTTCTGAGACTAGGACATGGTTCCTGTCCTCGATGGTCACGATGGCAATAGCGCGACCTCAGGCCACAGTCAGAATCACCTCTGGCCAGCAGCTCCAGAAAATTTTGATGATTTCAGTCCCAATTTTGGCAATAAGTAATCTCTCTCCCACCTTGCAACTATGTTGTCCAGCTTAGAAATATTCTGAACTGTAAGTACACATTCTCCTTTGTAAAACAAAACCTCCAATCCTTAATACTACAAGAAATCTCCCCATCCAGAGGGACAGATGTGTTAGTGACCCTCACTCAGTCCTCTGATTTTCACCTTGCCCAAGGTCTTCTCACTTCAGTTACTGCTGTCTTACCCATCCTGGATCTAAGAACAACCTGCTATCACTGTATTGATCGAACTCAAGCATGAATAACAGACTCCTCTCTGCTTTTCCTGACACAGCTGAGACCATCTGGGACTTGCAAAAATCTCTACCAAACTGTAAGGTAGAACCCACGGAAATAAACACAGAGACTATAGTGAAGCTGAAGAATCAGAGTTGCAGAGCCCAACTTGGCTGACTCCTCTGGCTTCCAGACTGTTCTCCCCCACCAGCCATCAGAGAGAGCCACCCCACAGCCTGAACAGACTGCTGCAATTCTACAGCCATCTTACCTGGATTACCTCTCAGGTTCTCAGTCTGTCCCATTAAGAAAGGCACCATCTCACAGCTCACTCCCTAGAAGTTCCAGCTTCAAGCCTGTGTGGTCAGTGGCCTCACTATCAGATAAGATCCTGCCCCTCTCTCTATACAGGACAGTGGTTTCATCTTTACTGGCCCCTCATTATTTGCACAGCATCACAGAATAAAATACCCACAGCTCTCATGTAATAGGATCTACATGCCAACAGTCCTAGGCAGGTGGTCCCTCAAGGAAATTACCATGAACAAGATGGAGGCAAAGTTCATCAAGTAACCTGGGAAACGATCTTTCCAGGTCAGTTTATCTTCATCATCCTAGAAAGAAACAGAAGAGTAAAGACAATCAGAAGACACAAATTACAGATATTAATTTGCTCTCAATTTGCATAAATTTGCATATAGATGATCACTCATCACTCTATGCAGGTATTTTTCTAGTCACTGATGCCTTACCCTCTTTATCAACAACAGCCCTCCTAATTTTGTATGTTCTAGATGAGCTGAGATAGTCTGGAAAAACTACAGTGAAAAGAAGACAAGATTTGATTTCAGCCTCACACTGGGCTGAAGTTCTAGTTCAACCACTCAACATCTGTGTGATCTTGGACATGTCTCTTAACATTTCTGACCCTCAATTTCTTCATCTGTGCAATGGGTGCAGTAGTGACACCTGCACTGCCTATTGCACAGGACAGTCTTGTTTATTCGTTCTGTTTTAATGAGAAACATGTGAACATGATAAAGCAATGGACAAATGACAGATACAACCCGACAATGGGGCAGCATCCTAAAAATAGATCATCCTATAAATAAATACCTACCACTAACCTTAGATGCTAATAATTGTACAAATTATCCATAGTTTTTGTTCTTCAGAGGCCTGTGTGTGGTTTCATTTGTTTCCTGCACAATGACTATGTTCTCCCCTTGTCACGAGTGCAGACATTTTGAGGCACATGGTAAACTAATCCGTTCAGTCAGTTTGGCTAGAACCCTACCTTTTTCCCCTCAGACCGGGTCCAGTTCACCCAGGCCACTCTCCTGGGATGTCCACATCACTGGCCACAGTCCTCCTTCAACATTCTCTGAGGACCCTCATTTGGAGGAAGATGACAACAGGTATGATGATAAAAAGCTCTACTGATCAATTGCTGTACAATTTTAGTCCAGGCACTTGATTTCTCTGAGCTGCAGTTCTGTATGATTAGGATCGATACGGCTGTCCTACTTACTACACAAGGATGTTGTGAAGACCAGTCTGAAGCCACGCGTGTGGAGGTGCCTAGAAAATGGCAAAGCAGTCTGTGCCCATAAGGCAGGAGGTCCATAAGGAACCTGTGTGTGCCATGAGCATAACTACACTCAGCAAGTGCGTGCTCCAAGGTCCCTGCCCAATTTTCCCTTCCCTCCTCCACCACTGATATTTCAGAACACACCTGATTTGGCTCTAGCAACAGTGCCATCTAGCCTTTGAACGCTTGTACTGTATGCTAAGGACATTCTTGGTCTAAAAGACTTCTTTCTAAAATCCTTTGTCTGCCCACGGTGTGTAGACCTAGTGCCAGGCATGGTGGGGAGAAAGAAGTACGTGGATATGATCACTGCCCCCAGAGGCCCAAAGGCTAATGAAACACAGATGACATCCACACACCACAAGGTCTAAGATCCACCTAGTTTGGGAGTGAGGGTTGTCTTGGAAATGACAATTCCCATTGCATGTCTAGAACTGAGCACAGAGTTGAGCTGCTTAACACAGGGTTGTGGAAATGATTTTAAGACAGGAGTCAGTGAGTAATTAGCACTTTAATTTGCAGGTGATATAAACAAGCAATCTGCTCAGGTTTCATAGACTCAGTGCTAGAATCAGATCTCTAGACCCACGGTCCACAGACTTTCCACCACATCCCGAGAACAAGGTAACTGCAGGCTGTGACCACTCTGAATAGACAGGAGAACGTAACCCATTTCTCATGCGATTGGAACAAGACTCAGTCATATTCTTCTAAATTAGGCCAAACGTCAAGAGGGAGGAGAATCTCTTTCACTTTCCTTCAGTATTAACTCAGTTTCGCTCACACACTACTGTTTCCTTTAAGCTATTTTCTTTTAAGATGTTGATAGGAAAACTGAAGACAGACCAGCAGATGACAACACTCCCCAGGGATTCTCAACAGAAGTACGGGGGTGGGGGATGCAGGGGCTCTTCCGGAGGCCTCCCTAATCAAGGTTAAGGTGTTGGTGAATGGATCTTGTTTCGGTTCCACTCAACAAACATGGTATACAAGGACCTTCGATGTTCTGTGCTCAACACTGAGGACACAGTGAGCAGAAGGATCAGCCCTGCCCAGAAAATACTCAGAGATCATCAAGGAAACAAGGAAAAAAATTCAAAGTTGAAACTGACTAGGAAGGTGGCATTACCATTTGGCACATAAAGGGGACATAACTAAAGAGCAATTGAATTGGATGTCCTCTCAAAGCAACTACCTTAGAGAAAAATACTCATTTCAATGTAGATGTTCTAGTGTTTGTTGAAAAAACACCCCTTCTCGTGTTTACATTGATGAGCTCTTTTTTCTGGAAGTCATAGCTCCCAGCACACACACAGCTCTCATGCATTCAAATACTGTCCAAACACAAGAAGCTGAGGGAAACTAAAAGAGTACAGACTGTCTTCCAAGCTCCCAAAGTTACTAGAACAGATGACAGTAAGTAAAGTAGTCTCTGCTTATAAATGATCTGGCCCTAATAACGGAAGCCATTTAAAACTCTCCACTCACTTATTTCCTCATTTATTGTCTGTAAACTCTTTGAGAGAGGGATTAATTTGTTGAAGATTCATGGTAAGATTGAAGATTCATGGTAAAAACACCATCAATAACGACAGTCTGCATAAAAGTTAACTAACCAGCATGCAAGACAGTAGAAATAGAAAGTAGACTTGGAACCAGAACATCTAAGTTCTGAACTCTTGTCTCTAACACTCACTAGGCAAATAACCTTGGAAAATTCCCAGAACCTGTCTCCTTATCTGAAAATTAATTATATTCCATATCTGTAAATATATAAAGTAGCTGTATCTATCACATCGAATTACCATGTGTTTTTAATTAGCCAACCTATGGAGAGGGCCAAGAGAGTGCAGGCACACTGAGGTAAGTGACAACTCTTAGCAACCCCCTCTCCTTTTCAAATAGAGATGACAACGCGTGTTCCACCGAGGCGGCAGAGGTATTGTGTGAATCATGTGTATGACTGCATGTGAGAGAGCTTTGTAAACAAACGGTAGGGTGTCATATAAAAGTAAGGTCTAATCAGCTTCATAATTACATCAAAAGCAGGTAAGTATGAAGCACTTAGCTAATGTCACCATTGTTAAGACGTGAGCCTAGCTGTGGTCTGTACTTGTTTCTTTGTCTGCTGTCTGTGTCTGTGTGTCTGGACTGTGGCTCCCAGTTCTGAGTCTCTGAATAGCGAGCAGCACAGGGATAGAAAACCACACAAGTGCCCTTCTGGCAAACTGAACCTTTGGGAATGAAATCACTGAAAAGGCAATCATAGGTGAGAATACCATTTAAACAAACAACTTGGAGAGTAATTTTAAAAAGTGGCAATCATCTTCGAGGTTTTTGGTTTGGTTGGTTGGTTTTTTTAAATTAAGGTATAACTTACATATAGTAAAATGTACCTTCATAAGTGCGCAGTTCTGCGAGTTTTGATAAACATACGGCATGTAACCATAGTCACAATCAAGATACAGAACAATTCCACCACTTCCCAATATTCTCCCCATGTCCCTTTGTGATCTATCTCTTTCTCCAAACCCCAGAACCCGGCAAGGTCTTTATATCCCTTGAATGTTGCCTTTTCCAAAATGTCACATAAGTGGATTCATACGGTAGGTAGCCTTTTGAGTCTGACTTCTTTGACATATCAAAGGGCATTTGAGGTTCACCTGTGCTGTTGCATGTATCAGTAGTTTGTTCCTTTTTATTGCTGAATAGTATTTCATTGTATGGATGTACCAGAGTTCATTTATCCATCAATAGTTGAGGGATGTTTGCATTGTTTCCAAATTTTGGCAATTGTGAATAAAGCCATTATACCTATTTGTGTGTTGCTTTGCGTTGTTTCACTCCCCACGGATTTGTCACCCCACTTCCCCTGGGTGATGGAGACGCAAAGGATTACTCAAAGCCCATCTCTACTGAGCAGTGAGAGGCCCCGAAGTGGTTAATCTCCTGGAACCCTCAAGAGAGAGGCATTCCTTCCTTGGGAAATTAATGCTGAATTGGGGTTCTCTTCCTGCATTTATTTTCCAGACCAGGAAGTTACATGAAGAGAAGAGGTTACATGAAGAGAAGAGAGGTGGGGTTATAGTTTAACAATACAGGCTGGTAACTTTCAGTGAAACAAGCCAGATGACATTCTCTTTGACAATTAAGTGATCTTACAGCAATTTCTCAGTATCTTTACACAACAGTCAGTAACTAGTCTGTCTTTGAGCCAGCAACCTGCTGCGCCACAATTCTTGTCTTGCAACAGAGACTTATAGCCTGAGGGAAATTTCCAGTCCTCGGCAAGGTCAATATTTGAAACTGCAAGTCTTTGGAAAACCAGGCCCTGTGAAGTACATATGCTTTTTAGTATATTCCACATCTCCCCCGTTTTATTTATTTAAAAGAAAAAGAAAAAGCTATAGATCAGGTTGGCATAGTTAAGACAAAAAGCATTTTGTTAAAGCAAAGTTAGTATCTATTAGCGTGGCAAGTCCTTTTAATTTACTTTAGGTGAGGACTGGTGATGTCATCGTCTCAGGGCGGCTGCAGCCTCACTCAAGGTGCTGTGAAGTGGGTGTAATTAGCAATTGTTGAAGCTCCGGAATGGTCTGTAAAATAGTTGATTCTGAGTTCAGGGAGTTTGTTAGTGTTAAAACTGTCTAGGGCATACTGTTTCCGAAGCATCTAGTCTTTTGTTAAATTTTTGATTAATTATAAGTCTTTTGCTTAAGAATAGGATGTCTCATCCAAGTTGCAAACACCCTCTCTAAGGCCAGGAAAATTTAGAGAACTGCTTTTGTAGAGAAGACATTATTTCCTCCTTTATGATCAAGGCATTCCTCATAAAAGCATTGGTGATCAATATCTAGATTGAAAAGGCCTTACTTTTCGTTGCATAAATCTCTCAGTGTTGGGAAGGCTCTTTCCCAGGTGATGATAGAGAGAAGCATCTCAGCTCGCTTTTTTTCAGTGATCTGTCCCACGTTGCTGGGAATGCTGTTTACCAGGTGAAGATTTGTTTGTCCCATGTTGATG